GATTTATCATGAAGAGAAATCAAGCCATGCACATGTTTAATCATGAGTTTCGAATTTTTATAAATCAAGGGCTTAAATTCGAATTTGGAGTAGCATGCATGGTTAGGCTGAGTTTGCTAGATTAATATTCCTTATAAATCATGAGGATGATGGTGTAAAAATTTGAGAATGTTTGGAGTTCATTTGCTTGGTCATCTAGCTTATGACTTTATGTGAATTTTCACTCCCAAGCTTCATTATTATGCATGCGAGTAAAGCCTATCATGTTAGCCTTAAAAATCATGTTCTATGTTGTTAAGTACTCGGCATTTATCATAAGTTCAAGAATGAGTAGTTGTTCTGGTGACTTAAGGTTCGTACGTGCCTTATCGGCCCTACCGAATCACATGCATGTTGACTCGAGGTCTCCTAGTGCTTCTTTGCATTTGTAAGTCTTTTTCATCATAAAATGTTGATATATGTTGCATGTCACCGAAAAAGTAGTCGGACGGCCGGTAAGGACCGGTCATGGTCACTGGCCGCGCCTATAGCGCGCCCTTCAGAGGCTAAGTTACCTCGTCAGTGCCATGCCCCATGTCTGCAGAGGTTAAGTTGTCCCTGTTGTGCTCGCGCACTGTAGGAGCAACGCACAGCAGCCCCAGTGCATGCGACCGCGACCGGCAGCGCGAGTCCGTGTCAGCATGCATGGGCCCGGCACCAGTCATGCCCAGGCCTCTTGCATGGCGCCCGGTAGCGCCGTGCCAGTCCCAGCGCGCGAGGTCTCCTGCCAGAGCCTCGCGCCAAGTCCAGGGACGACCCAAGTCGGGTCTGTCGAGTCTAGTCGGCCTCGGTCTGTGACCCAGCAGCACGCTTGAGTGCCCAGAGCCCTCAGGGACTCCTGGCAGCGCCCGCATAGCGTTAGTCCGCTTCTGTCTCGAGTTCAGTCGTGTCTGTCCGTGCCTAGCCGCACGCCAGAGCCACAATCGACCTAGGTAGTGCCCGGCATCACCCGATTGGCACTAGTCGTGCCAAGGCCCGTGCCAGCAGCGCCTGGTTGCACCTGTCCGTGCTCACAGCACCCAGGGCCGAGCCCGGCCGCACCAGCCGTGCCCAGCACAGCGCCAGGGCACTAGCAGGCCCGGCGCGGGATCGAGCCCGGTCAGCCCTAGCTAGTGCCTGACCGCCCGGTTCAGCTCGAGCGGGTGGTCCAGCCAGTCAGCGAACCGACTAGCGGTTCGAGTCCATTTTGGTTCGTGAGTTTCGGTCCGAGTTAGTTTTCGAAATCTAAGTATTTTTTTGAGCCAAACCAGTCCAGTCAAGTATGCCAGTCTAAAATCCAGAAATAGTATATTTTTTTAGCGAACCATTAGAGCAATCCCTTTCACCCGGATAAGTGAGCAAATAGAACCGAGCATCATAGCATATCATTAAGCATTCCGAGCATATACTTAGCATATATTTGCTTATATGTTTATGTAGCTTAAGGAGAGTCGAGCCTCCGACAACTACTTCAGTATTCAAGCATTTGCAACAGAAATTATCAGCATATCAAGTGGGAGCCTTTACAGGGCATTATATTGCGCATTTCAGTTATCTTGTATAAGCAGGGCGTTATATTGCGCATTTCAGTTATCCTGTATAAGGTACGTGAGTAAGATAGGTACCCAAACGGTCGAATTATCCCGTTCGTGGTCCAGATAGTTCTCCCAGGTGAGAGGCTGACCTAACGGCCTTCCGAGATCCACCTGGTATCCGGCTGGGGCTTCGGCCTTAGTGTCTGGGTGTGTGCACACGAGCAGCCAAAGTAAGGGCCGACAAGGGTCTTTGAGACCACAGATAGAAGAACAAGTTTTCAATTTAAGCTCTTATGTATTGAAGCCATGATCTAGTGTATTATTGATGTTGTCTTATTCAGTACTGGTCTTACGGAGATGTGGGGGTCATGTACTGGATTCCACATCATCTCTAATTACTTTACCATGACTGAGGTATGTTCGAGACAGTTATTTCTCCCAGGTGAGAGGCCGAAGTAAGAGCCTTCCCAGATCCACCTGGTACACGGCTGGATGCTTAGGCCTTCAGTGTACGGGTGTGTGCACACGAGCATCCGAAGCAAGGGCCGACAAGGTTCTTTAGACCACAGTTTAAGTTCAAGAAAAGTTTACAGTACAACAATCTATTTTATTTTATGCTGCTTTTTAAGATTATTTTACACTCCCACAGTCTTCTCTATTTCAGGTGACGGAGTCCAGTGTGCCGGGTGAGCAGACGTGGCAAACATGGTCATGAGCAGTTGACATTTTTACACACATTTTATGATTTAAAATTCATGAACATGTATAAATTTATAATATTTAAGTGTGTATTATGTATTATTCAGTTAAGCTTCCGCTAAACTAGACAGTGCGAGATAGTCGAACCTGCATGTGTGATTCTATTATCTCCACAGTGGATTGATTTGGTTGCATGTTTTATTAAGTTAGATAAGAAAGTTTTTGTAGCATCCCGCAATTAAGAAAGAATTTTTGAAAACCAAGCCTGCACTATCTTTCGAAAATAAAAGCGAAAATTTTACTCTGATTTTCAGTATTCAAAGCTAAGTAAGGCAGGGTGTTACAGCTCGACAGTGGTATGCCAGACCATTTGGAGAGCTCAGAGGGTAATGAGGTCGACAAACGCTTATTCTGCTGCTCGAAAGCAGCTTTCTCGCGCTCCCGAGTTGCTCGTTCCGCCTCGAGCGCAGCCTCGAGAGCCCTTTTTTCTTCTCGCTCAGCCTCGAGCGCATCCTCGAGAGCTTTCTTCTCTCCCTCGAAGGTCTCCTTCTCGGCCTTGAGGGCTTTCATCTTTAGCTTCTCAGTCTTCAGTGTCTCGCGGAGTTCGTGACGCTGGTGAGTGAGGTCATTCACCTTCTTTCGGAGGAGGCAAGCCCCCTGCTCGATCGAAGGGATAGATTGACTAGCACTATTCAGGGCCTGGTCGATCACGTGAGCCAGTTCGACCATTCCCTTCACAAATAAAGATAGGAATTAGTACATAAGCAACAAAAGAAACAAGTCAAAGAAGATGAATAATGTTATGAAAGTTACATGTGCTAGCCATTTGGCAATACGGTGCCCTCGGGTATGTAGGGTGGCACCGTCATCGCGGAGGTCGTGGGCAAGGACGATACTTCAGTGCCGCTAACATGTGTCAGCGAAGGAATGGAGGAACAACGGACATCAGTCGTCTCTTCGAGCCGTAGACATTTATTATACCCCTCACTTTCTTCGGTGAGGGGACGCTTGAGTTGGGCCTCCGCAACAATCCTCAGGTTCAGGGAGCAGGTGTTTCAGTTGAAAGGAAGGTTGTCAAAACCGGACCGGTCATCGAACCGGTCAAGCTACTAGTTCAATGGTTCACTGGTCCGACCAGTGGTTGAACCGGTTGGACCGTTATTTAATTTATTGATATTTTTAAATATATATAATATTTCATAAATATAGTTAACTTAATTTTTAATTTATTTAATTTATTGATATTTTAAAATATATAATTCTTATAAATAATAAATATAATAAACTTATTTTTTAAAAGGTTCATCCAACAAAATTGTAATTATAATAAATATAGGCAAAATTGTAATTTCTGCCCTGTAACTCAGGGCCTGTGGCAAAACAGGACAGCTTCTTTTCCATTTTGCAAAAACGCCCTGGAATTTGTTAAAATGTGGAACCCGTGCCCAATTTTAGATCTGTTAACCTAAAATGACCGGTAAGTGCTGACTCGATATTTTTTAGCCGACGTTGATGCTCGCATGTCTGGAACCTCAATATAATCGACATAACACTCATTTTCAGCCCCAAATCAAATCCTTAAAAACCTAAATCGACTCAAAAACACTAACATTTTTCTTTTCAATCGATCGAAATTGATGTCTGAGATTACTAGAAATGTCGATTGTCCTTGCGGGTATAGAGTCGTGAGTCAAACTTCATGGAAGTATCCCAACTGTGGAAGAAGATTTTTCTCCTGTTCTAAATGGAATGTAGTAAGTTTCGATTTTTTTCTCCAATTGTTCTAACTTTTCTCAATTTTTCTGTTCAAGATATTATTTTTATGGCTTTGACAGGGGAAAGGATGTAACTACTTTGATTGGGTTGAGCCACCTATGTGTCATCGGTCTCAACAAATTATCCTAGGCTTACTGAACAGAGTGAATGAAAAAAGAAATGAAATCAAAATGATGCAAGTGGAAATTGAGAAGATGCAAGTCGAAATAACTAAGCTTTCTAATTTGATTGAAAAAAACAAGATTCTGAAAGCACAAGTCAACAATTTGAAAAAAGCGAAGAAAAGGTCAAAAATGTATTATGTACTGTTGTTGGTACTTCTTATTTTCACTTTGTTGTTCTGCACTGGGGATAGAATGCCCCAAGGGACATGCATGAAAATGTTGGTTTGATGTGTAATGCTAGTAGTTGTAGTACTTATTTCAGGGTGTAATGGCTGTAGTACTTATTACAGTTATGTTGGTTTGATGTGTACTACTTATTTTAGGGACATACACTGTAATGGTTTGATGTGTGATGTTGAGTTTTGGATATCTTAAGTTATTGTAAGAGATATTGAACTAATGTATTCATGTGTTTCAAGTTTAATGGAATGTGAAGGCTCTGTTGAATTTAACTTGTGTATTGTTATGTTTGTGTTTGATGTGTGCTACTAAATTTTAAACCTATTGTAATGATGCTGTCACAATTACTTAACCATGTAAATAAATACACAAGAGCATATTAAAAAGCAATAATTCTCATTCCCATTCATTGCCAAATACAAAAAGTTCAAAAGATACCAGTTATTGGCAATGCAAAGAGTTCACAAACACCAAAACCAGCTATTGCCAACAAAATCCACGATCTAAATCCATAATAAACACCAACAAGATCTGCCATTAAGTTCTCAAAAACAACAACCTGCTATTGCCAACCATCTATTACCAACGAAATCTAAAACCTAAACATCAACATAAAAACTACAAAGGATCATTTTTTTGCCTTGTCTTGCCGGTTGAGTACCATTAATTTCTTGCCCTGGTCAACCACCACTACTGAAGCTGCAGAGACTGATGTTATGCTACTTCCTGCAGAGAATAATGGTCTTTCTCCAGTGAAAGCTGCAGGCCCTCGGATAATAGGTCCATGTGTAGCTCTTGATAGTTGTGGCATGTTGGTACCCATTAGTTGATCATACATTGATGGGCCTGGCACATGTGGCTGTGGAGTTAGCATAAACCGAGTCTGGGATTGTTGATTGAGGATCTCTTGTATGAAAACTGTTGGGTTCAAGGAGCTTGCTTGTTGGTTGAGGGAGTTGTTAACACCTACCTGCTGAAGTAACAAATTACCAAGTTATTAAAACTTTATGATTATTTTCAATTAAAACAATATTAAAGACACTTACAGTCATTGAGGTCCTTTTCCTTTTTCCACATGTAGCTGAATTATGTCCTGAAGTGCCACATTTCATGCAATTAAGAGATGTTTGCTGCCTCCTCATTCTCGTAAGATTTTTTGCTGTGAGCTTTGTTTTGTGTTTAGAAGAAGGCTCATCTGCCTCTCTTCTCCTTGCCTTTGGTGGTCTTCCTGCACCTCTTCCAAAGTTTGGTGGCATTGGGGGTACAAAATTTTGAGTGCACCACAGAGCAACACCATTGATTGGATATATGGTGTGTTGGTATGCATTTAAGTACTTTTCAACCGTGTAACACTCAGACACAAAGTCCTCAATAGAACCCTTCTGATAAAAAACAACACTAAGTGTATGGTTGCAAGGTATACCTGACAATGATCATGATCTGCATGTACAAGATTTGTCAAGCAAATTCACACAGAATTGAGCACCATTACTGCATCTGACTTCAAAGTGCCAATCATCTGCTTTCACTGGATAACAGTCAGCCACACCATTTGTATGCTTCTCAACAATCTCTAATATTCTAGGACATAGAATCCCCTTCCATTTTCTTGCTCTATCCCTATTTTTTTGCATTCTTTCCATCAAATAACCTCTGAGCCATTCACACATTGTTATTATTGGCTCCTCTCTAGCTTCCAATATATTGGAATTGAAGGTCTCACAACAATTGTTCAGCAACATATCACACTTCACATCTTCCTTAAAGTGGGACCTTGACCACTGCTCTGGTGGTTTATCAGCTAACCACTCCCATGCAGCTTCATTCAAGTCCCTCAGCTGGGACATTTTTTGGCTAAACTCAGCCTTAGTTGTTGACATGGCAGCACTCCACAATGCATTTTTGAAAGGTATCCCTCTAAACCCAGCATTTTGGAAATTATTGCACAAGTGTCTAACACAATGCCTATGTTCAGCTAAAGGAAAGACATCTGCAACTGCTTGAATAAGTCCTTTCTGTTTGTCAGACATGATAATGAAGCCATTGCCCAACCCTATACACAAATCACTCTTCAGAATTGTCAAAAACCAGCCCCATGTTTCAGTGGTCTCACCACTCACAACAGCAAATGAGATAGGAAACAAATTGTTATTAGGGTCTACACTCACTGCTGTTAATAAGATACCTTTGTGTGGACCCTTTAGGTGACATCCATCTATTCCTATTATGTGTCTGCAGTCTGCCAAAAACCCTTTTTTCAATGCATTAAAGCAGATGTACAACCTATTAAACCTATTATCCCCATTAACATCATCACATGTTCCCAAAATAATAGTGGATCCAGGGTTAGATCTTCTCAACTCCTCAGTGTAATCCCACATTTTAGAATACTGCTCATCTGAAGAACCCTGCAAAATTTTAAGAGCTCTTCTCTTCACTCTATAAGCTTGGTCTCTAGAAACACTGCATCTAAGTTGCTCCACAGTATCCTTTCTCCACCCTTTGACACTTCTGTTGGGATCAGACTTAAACTGTGACAAATACTTCTCAGTGAGCCAATTAGTCCTCACATTCTTAACTTTGAATGTAGTGGGACATGTGTGCTGCTCATGAATTTCTTTAATAAAGAAACTCTCTTCATTCTTAACTTTCAAAAGATGCAACTTGAAGGGACAACTTTCCTCATAACACCTCACATACACTCTGCATGGATCACTTTTAGTGATCCTGACACTCCTCTTACAAGCCACACCATAAGATTGCACAACCTTCTTGAATTCATTCCTGCTACTAAATAACATACCCAATTTAAAAATTGGGTCATAGACAGTAGCAGGATTAAAGATGGGTATGCTCTCTTCTTCTCCATCATCTGCTTCATTGAACTGAGGCTCATTATGAACTACATCTTCTTCATTGAAATCACTATCATCTGCATCTGGGATTTCATCAACAAATCTATCAAATATCCTATCATCATCACTACATTCTTCTTCCATCCCATAATCACTATCATGCAAATCATCAGACACCTCATCACCTATTTGTCCCTCATTTTGAGTCATTTCATCAGCTTCATCATCAGTCATTTCATTAACAAATGCATCCACAGAGCCATCCACAGAATCTTCCCCACCCATAACTTCTTTTTCACCCTCATCTCCTTTTTCAACAACAACATCACACTTCACATCAACATATATATCTATCTGTTTTAGACCAACATGTTTAATAAACCAAGACCTCACTAATTCATCAGTGTTTAATGCCCTAAAACAATTATTCAGCAGCATGTAATGCATCCTATCAGACCCTTGTGGTACTACATAATCACTTGACCCCTTAAGTATAGCCATGTCCATACTTTTGACATCCACATAATCAAATGATATTTGAGACCCACCTCTATAGATTGCAAAGGGGTTGTGAAGAAACTTACCCCCATAATGTAGGTCAACAGTCAGCTGGTAGGATCCACGTTCTGCAACACAAAATAAAGTAACAAAATGCAATTAGAATAACACACAAACAGGGAGCACATTCATTTCAAAATGGCAAGTCTTCTTCAGACGTTTCTTCAAACAAATAACCCCAGAATATATATATATATATATATATACATAATCTAAAAGAAATAGACTACATATTTCGAAAATAAAAACCGCACATTTACAGTTTTTCATTAAAAATAACACACACACACACTTACCGTAAGAAGGTGGATCGGTATCTGGTTTCCTCTTGGTTGGAGAATACAACATCTCCAAGTGACTACTAATTTGACTTCGCAATTTCGGTTTGAATGAAGAACTTCGCAATTTAGGGTTTCTGAGTCGATTTAGGTTTTTAAGGATTTGATTTGGGGCTGAAAATGAGTGTTATGTCGATTATATGGAGGTTCCAGACACGCGAGCATCCACGTCGGCTAAAAAATATCGAGTCAGCACTTACCGGTCATTTTAGGTTACCGGATCTAAAATTGAGCACGGGTTCCACATTTTAACAAGTTCCAGGGCATTTTTGCAAAATGGAAAAGAAGATGTTCTGTTTTGCCACAGGCCCTGAGTTACAGGGCAGAAATTGCAATTTTGCCATATATATATTAAGTAATAAAATAATAGGACAAAAATATGAACAAAAAGATTTTCTCCCACTCTAGATAAGTAATAAGATAATAGAAATAAAATATGGGAAAAGAGACTTCCTTCCATTGCCATGCACAAAAAGCTTTTTGCGTTGACATTTAACAAACCAAAAAAAAAAGTATATATTAGGAAACTACGCACAGTATATTGATAACCTTTTGTGTTCACATTTAAAAAAACAAAAACACAAAAAAAAGCCTTTTGCGTTCACATAATTGCGCCTCTTTGGTGACATGTATTACTAGTTTTATCCCACATCGGTTTATGTAACAAAAATGCTGCTTTACAAATGTGTGAGAAATTACTTACATAGATAAAAAGAAATCCTGATCGGTTGAACCAACCGGTTTATATCTGGTTTTGTTCAGTTTTGACCGGTTGAACCGGCCATTGACCAGTTTTACTGACAGCCGGTTATTTCCAAAGACCGGACCAGTGAACTGGTCGGTTCTCGGTTCAACTGGTCTGACCAGCCGGTCTGGTCCGATTTTGAAAACAATGGTTGAAAGTATAGCCGAGTTGGTTCGAGGAGAGGTCGGCTGTTGTTCCTCGACCACCGGCATAGTCGAGTTGGTTTGGGGAGAGGTCGGTTGTTGCTCCCCGACCACCGGCATAGGCGAACCGGTTCAAGGAGAGGTAGGATGTTGATTACCTTGAGAGAGCGGGTGTATGGTTTCGTCAACCAACGGATTGGTCGAGGAAGGGAGAGGCTGCTCCTCGATACAAGGTGCCTGGGTTGGCATATTTAAAGTATCGACCTCCATGGATGAGGTCGAGTGCTCGAGCGGAGTTGTGGTCGAGTCAGAAGGCCGAGAGCCTGAGCCTTGAGTGGGCTTCTTCTTGAGAGGAACCCTCGTCTAGGGGAGTGGCACAGCGGACATCTCTGCACGAAATCCATAAAAACAAGTCAACACCACAATAAGCAACTTAGGCATAAGGGCAAATAGGGCAATACTCAAATATGGAGGCGAAGAAACACCTGGATCGCCCTCTACTGGGATGGAGTCGAGGACTTCTTTGGTAGGAGGAGATAGGGATTTATGACTAAGAAGACTGCAAAAGTGCAGAAGGTTGTCATTTTCGAGGAGGGTTTTGGAAACGACTCGTTTGGAATTCCACACGGAAATGCGTTGGTCGAAGAAAGAATCTTGAGGAGGGTTCTCAGGCTCGAAAGAAAGTTCTTTCAGCCAAGGGGTGGGTGCCTAGCGGAAGGCAGAGTCGGGCTCGACATAGACAATTTTTTGCTTCCACTTAGGACAATTGGAAGGAATATCAGAGATAAAATGGGCAGTATTGCGGCTCTTCAGATCGAGCCCTTGAGCTTGCTTCGAGGGCATGTAGCAGTAATGAAAAAAACCTAGATCGAATCGACCTAGGCGAATGTGGGAAAGAATGATAAAGGTCGTTATGAAGCGGATGGCATTCGGGGGGAGCTGGTTCAAAAGAAGACCGAACCAGTTGCAAACATCGGCCAATTCTTGGCACAAGAGGAAACGGATGCCAAGTTTGAATTGGATCTCGTAAAAAAAGTGTAGGAGTTTTTGGGTGGATTGTCATAAGTGTCCTTAGGACCAGGGGATATGAAAGCCCAACCAGGGAGATGGCTGACATCATCGACCTCTGACCACCCAGCTACACGAGGAGATGGAGATGCCCCCCTAGAAGATGAGGTTTTGGTCGATTTTTTTCTTATGGGCAGGTTTAGAAGAAATAGCAGCGGCTGAAGGATTTGATTTGGTTTTAGATGAATCAAGAAAGGTCAAATCTGGGAGTTTAGAGGATTCGGGTTTAGATTTTGGCTTAGAAGTCGTGGTTACCTTGGATTTGCTCGAAGCTGGGAGTTTGGAAGAGACGGAACAGTGGAAAAGAGGAATATGATCCTCGTCGGCCCTGCGAGCCGCTTCAGCAGCATCTAGAGTTGCTTCTGCGGTGTCAGAAGCACCAAAAGCCAATCGAAATCGGCGTTT